CCACCGACGCGGAAGTCGAGAATGACATTGTCGAGGAGGGCGCTTGGGCGGCCATCGTCGTCCAACCGGGCGTCACGGCGAACCTGCTCACTGCGAGGCAGACGGGCAACTCTAGCTGGAACGGCACGTCGGCGGTCCACGTGTACTACAACCAAGGCAGGCAGGAGACGGCGGTGAACAGCTACCTCGTGCCGTACATCCAGGCTGAGCTTGGTGCGATTGTTGGCCGGGCCTCGGCTCAGTCCATCGGGCAATAGTGAGTGGAGCGAAATCATCCCGGCACGGATCCAGTCTGATATGGTTCGACGTTCGCGCCGCACCGCGTGCCCGCTGACACCACCCGAAGCATCTCGAGCAACTCTGGTAACACCACGGCGATGAACCTCCTTGCCCAGGCGCCAACCACCGTCACCAACTCGGTGTACTTCACCATGGTCAACCTGCGTCCATACTCCCAGCCCGTGGCGCAGGCGATCACCCTCGTCGGTCTCATCTACATGCTCATCTTTTCGTTCATCATCACCATGAACAACAATGCCGCGCGGGAGATCATGTGAGCGGATCCGTTTCGGTCCCACCGCGGCGGCGTCGTTGGCCCCGTTGCGTAGTTTTCTTGTCGCGCTTGCTGACGCCTCTGTAGCGGTCCCTACCTCCGTACCAAGGACCTGATCATCATGCGCCTCGCTGTCCCGATGATCCTCTACCTGCCCATCTCGTTCCTCTTCGCCATGATCTCCCTCCCGTTCAAAGTCGACTTTGGCGCTCACTACACCTACGCCGGAGGATTCTTCCTCTGGGCGTTCACCCTCTACCTCGGCATGTCGGCCGTCGGCCTCGCCACGGAATTCGCAATCACCATCCTCGGTCCGAAGTTCATGGGCTTCTTCCTCATCCCTCTGATCATCGCCAATGTCAGTGTCGCCTCGCTCCCGCACGAGCTGCAGCCGTGGATCTACCGATACGGCGTGGCTATGCCGTTCTACAACGTCGGTCGCGTCGTCCGAACAGTGAGTGGGATCGTATCGAGTCGAGAGTCGAATCTAGTCGGGACTATGTACCTCAGACATCGGGCTCAACTAATCCTACCAAACCTCCAACCCTCTTCGAGCCGCGCTGACGCCCCCCAGATCATCTTCAACACCAAAAACACCATCGCTCTGAACATCGGCATCCTCCTCGCCTGGACAGTCTTCTCCCTCATCACCATCACCTTTGCCACATGGCTCTTCCGCCGGTTCGCCATCAACGCACACCGCAAGGAGATGGGCGAGAACGAGTTTGACGAGAAGGCGTAGGCGAGGCGAGGCGAGGAGCACGCGACGACAACATAGACGCAGCGTACCGACCGACGTAATGAGTACATGCATAGACTTGATACTTGTCCGGATTCTTACACCCAGTGGCCTGTCGAGTGTACGAGGAACAGACGTCTGGCATTGCGGATCACTCCCCCCAATCTACTCGACTAAGCTGATGTCAATGCGCCAATCGATTCATGTACATGGCGTAAGACCACCTTTTGCTCGAACTCCCGCGATCACTCCCTTGTCACTCCTTCAGCGCCCTCTGCTCGAGAGCCTGCCACCACTCCACGCTCCTGTCGTACGCCGCTGCGCCCGGTCCGGGCTTCGCGACCACCCTGATCCCCTCGTCCTCGCCCGAGGCACTCCCCCTTGTCCTCGCCCGCCTCTGCCTGCACTCCTGAATCACCTCGTCGAACGACGCCCACTTGCGGTCCGTCGTGTGCCGCTCCCACCCCCACCTGGCCTTGTACGCCATGCCGACGCTGCACGCGTTCCAGTTCGCGTCGTCCCACTTGCCCGTCTCCGGGTCGAACTCGACGTTCTTGCACACCTCTGCACCAAGCACGTCCGCCATGAGGGACACGATGGTGCCGTTCTTGGCGGCGCCGCCGGTGGCGTACACCCTGGAGAGACCTTGTGCCGAATCGAGGATGGCAGAGGAACGGGCACGGTAGTTGAGCAACTGCGACTCGAGTATGGCGAGGGCGTTGGTCTGGACGTCGGGGAACTCGGGCACGCGTCGGGCCGCGGCGGCGTCAGAGGTTCCGGAGCCGGTGCGTGGTGAGACGTACTTGTACGTCCCGTGCGCGCCGTCGGGCTAGAGTCAGCACGAGCGGGGTGGAGTCACTCACGATGATGTCCGGGAGGAGCCACCAGAACGCCGCTTGATCGGGCAGGTCGGACCCGGTCTTTGGCCGGCCTGACTCTACCGCGGCGTTGAAAGCGTCCCACGACTTGGCGTAGTACTCGTCGCGAACGTGTTCGCGTGCCAGTGAGCCGTCTGACATAAGCGATGCTCCCGTTCTCGAAACGGCGCGGCCCGAACCGACTCACTCTTGTACACCAGCATGTTGAAGTAGCGGATCGGACCGACCTCGCGCTTGTCGTCGTCCTGGACGCTTGGCGGGGCGATCTGCGCCGGGTGGAAGAACGCGTGGTACTCTGGGTGCGGGTTGTACGACTCCGTCGACACGAGGACGACGTCGGATGTGCCGAGCGAGACGAGACCCTCGCCGGGGAGCACTGAGGTGAGCTACGTTGGGTGGGCGTCGACTCACGGGTCAAGCTGAGGAACGTCGCCGGGTTGTCACCCGTTCCCGGGAACACGCAGCATTCCGGGTCGAACCCGTACCGTTGAACGAACCAGCTTCCAATCTTCCCCACCACCCTGCCCGTGTCCGTCTCGACCTTGCCGAGCTTCTCACCGAGTCCCATACCGGGATCGATCGCCGCGAGCACCTTGTCGTTCCACCCTCTCTGCGCCGTGTCCATCGTCCAGAGGTTCATCCCGCACGCGTCGCTCTCGTCGATCCCCTTGACCTCGCCGTCGAGGCAGAGCAGCGTGGTGATGAAGCTGGACACGAGGGAGATCCTGCTGGTCTTGGCGTACCCGTCCGGATCGACCCGCCTGAACCGCATGATCTGCGCACCCGTGAATCGCTCGTGGGCCTTGGATCCGGTTGCCCGGGCGAGACCGTCCGGACCGCCGCACGCGGCCTCGAGCGCCCGGCACTCGGCGGTCGTGGACGAGTCTTGCCAGTTGGGTATGACCCCGCGCGAGAATGCCCCGGACAGCTGTGAGTGGAGCGGAAGTCCTCCGTCGACGGAACGAAGGATTGCCTCGGTGTCTTGCGACCAGTACACACTCGCATGTTGTTGTCCCGCCGCAGCCGCTCCTCGAACGGAAGACAGGTCCCACCCAGCCGCTTTGATCCGCTCAAACAACAAGTCCATAGCCTCCACGACCATCATCACCGGGCTGAACACCTCTCCAGAGCCCTTGGGCCCGTGCAGCACCCCGCCCCGCGTACCGTAGTGCGGCAGGTCCGCATCGAAATTCACAGCGAGCTCGCGCAGGACATCGAGGTCGGATGAGAGCAATGACGCTTTGAGGGATTGCGTCGACGCGTCGAGGCCGAGGAAGGTGGGGCCGGACATGGTGCGGGCGGGGGGCTCGTGGGTGTTCGGCGATGCTGTGGGATCGCTTGAAGATGCTCTTCAGATAGATGAGCGGTTGAAAGAGTATGGTTGACTCCCCAACTCGGCGTAAAGAAGAAACAGAGCAACCAAAGCGGCGAGCGGGCGGGTGGACGGAATCCTCCGAGAATGAGCCGAGAGGCAGCCGGGCAACCGACCCGCCGAGCCGAGCCGAGCCGACAACGACGACGACAACAACAGCGTGGCGGAGCGTGGTGTGGCGCGCAGCAAGGCATGAGGGTGGGCCACATTGTCACAAGGGTGGGGCTTCATGCAAGCAGGCACTCGGACAACCAAGCGGATATCAGAGGATTGTACGAGCCTGAGAGTCGCTGCCAGAACCTGGATATGCGTCTGAGCGGGCAAAGGCGACTGCGCGGGAGGTGCTACGTGACTCACCTGATTCCGCGGCCGGGCTCCCATACGCACCAGGGAGTCGCGCAACCCAGCACCGGAGCAGTGGAGCGGGTGTATGCGCCGCAGTCATACGGTGGACCCCTGCTGTTCGCGTCTTTGTACTTTTACAACGGTACATGCTCAGTGTGAAGTAGTACACGTGAGTGTATGACACAAGTGCATCCACGAATTGAACTTCTCCCCCCATTACGAGACCTCTTCACTCCGTGTCGACTGTTGATCGTGGGATTCTGCGCAAAGTTCTCCGAGTAGTGCTCTACCGTCGTCAGAGATAAGCGCGTAAACGAGACTGATGCGGAGAGGGACCATGCAGCCTCGCCTCAATTCGTCACGGCCGAACCATTTCCCACGTCACGTTGAGCTTCCTACCGCTTGTACAAAGGTTAGATAAGTGTGATCAACGGTAGATCGCAGCTCGTGGGATATCTCGCTTCGTCAGGCAGGAGTGTCTCCTGACATCAACCCAATAGCGGATACTGTAAAACCCTCTTTCATTCAAACGGTCATCCTACTGTAGGTAATTGTTACGACCAGGCATGTCCCACGTCGCACCGTTATGGCAAAAGACTTCAACGACTAGAATCAACTGTATATCTTTATCGGTGGAACATCTTGCTTCGTCGGGCAGGAAGGGCTCATGACAGTGGCGGCCAGCCCGGCAGTGAGACTAGATCTTCCCTACCGCCCCAGAAGTATTGTTCATCATCTTCCAGCTCCAACTCAACGCCATCGTGCTTCAGTCCGTTGTTCATCTTTCTCTTCACTTTGCCGCTGTCCATCTCTCACGCGCCCTCCTCGTGCTGAACATCGTCAATTCCAGAATCTGACGGGGCGTCCGCACACCACAGCAAAAGAAGAAGAAGAGGAGGAGGATACCCCTCTGAGCGTCACCTGCGCTATCTTACGCGGCCTCACCGCCACACGGAGCTCTACAACGTCCATAAGCTCTTGTCCGCTTATCTGAATGATACACATACGTTTCCAGGCATGAATTGGTGCTACGTGAGCTACATCCTCTTCAGAATGACCCTGGGTGGTAAACGAGCACGGTTATAGGTAATACCAAAAAGGGACTTAGGCGTGGCGCTCTTGGCCAAGTGGTACGGCGACAGACTTCGACGTTTGTTGGACATTCTTCTTTCGAAGAAGGCATCTGTAGATCGGGGGTTCGATCCCCTCAGAGCGTTCAGCCTTTTTGCTGCGTCCTCTGGGTGTTTTTTTGCATGCGTGGCGTGGATGCGTTGGAATCGCGTCGGGACGTTTGCACGGTTTTTGACCGGAGTGGGGGGCCGTGAAAAGGGCGATGTGGCGGATTTTCGAGAGGCGCCACAGTGCGGGTCTGGTTTTTGGGCGGCGCGAGCCCCCTGCAGCGTCCCGTTGCCCGGGCGCGTTTGGCTGGGCTGTTGAGGGGGGACTCGGCGAGGTGTGGACGGCGCCACAGCAGCCGCATGTCATAAGCGGGAGCAGATTCAGGTGCCATCCCGGCTGATCGCCTGGCGCCGGCAGCGTTTCTGCCTCGTCCTTCCGTTCACTAGGCACATATGAGAGCTCCATAGGGCATCGGAGGGAGTTGCAGCAGTGGAACAGTTGCCAAGTGAGTTGCTGCGGGTATGAATGGTAGGACGATTGGGGGGAGATACAGTCAACATGCCATTGGCGACTTTGACAACGCGTCAACGCGGCGTCCCCTCTGAGCGTTTTCGCGACCCAAATCCCGCCCGAACCGGATCTTGGATGTCATCGAGGGATCGGTCTGTTTCGGCGCTGAAAGTGCCTGCGGTCCGCGTCTTTCGTCTCCTACTACGGCCGATCTGGCGTGAAAATGTTTGGGCCGTCCGTCCGACGGGTCGGTGCAGAGGCGTGGTCCTGGTCGTGGCACTTTCCGCGTGGTCAGGTAGTAGTCGGTTCTTTGAGCCGTCGGTACAGCCGCCTCATCGACGGCGTAACCGTTACCAGGCCAGCGTTCCGCTATGCAGGGAACGCACCCCTGCGAACTCTCGCACAACGGAAACGAGCCACCCTTGAGTCAAGTTCATTCTCGTCGCACAGTGTGGCAGGGAAGCTATTTTCCATTTCCGCCGCGCTTATCCTCCTCCACATGTTCCCAATCACCTCCGAAGCGCCCCGAGAGCACTCGGAGGACGCGACACGACGCTGCGGCTCACCGCGAGACCCGCAGACCCACGCAAACAGCGCCAAACCTCCAAAAACAAAACTTATGTTGAAGAGAGTGGGATTCGAACCCACGCCCGAAGACTGCCGAAGAACTACTTGAATTCTCCTTAAGACAGCGCCTTAGACCGCTCGGCCATCTCTCCCCCGATTTATCTGTTCTCCGAGCTCTCCAGAGCAATAAGAACCAGCAAAAACCGCGCAGAATTGGACGAGAAAACCGACCAGCAAGACGACCGCGCCCGCCTGGCGCGGCGATGGCGGCTTACGCCGCCACACCGCCCTCGCCACTGCGCTTGGTCGTCGGCCATGTAACGAGTGTTTGGAGGTGGGTGAGATGGGTTGGGCAGAGTATTGGAGGTGTGTGGGAGCTGGATGAGGCGACGATTTTAGTGATGGGAATGTGTGGCTGGTCTAACCCATGCATAAGCGCTATAGATGGTCCGTGTACAACATCTCCGCCATGTCGCGCCACTCCGCCCTCTGGCAAAACTCCTCCCTCGAAACACACTCCACCTTCGCCTCCGTCCGTAGCGCCTTGCACCTCGCCTCGAGTTCTTGCCTGAACAGCTCTTCCTGCGCAACTTGGTCTCCCCATCTCACGCCCATCTTGTCCAGCCCCACCACGGTGTACTCTGCGTTGCCTGCGCAGATCGCGGCGAGGATCCGAAGATCGTCGGTGAGCGTCATCATGTGACGTGCCCCCCGAGCGCATTTGAGCGTTGCACGTTCCCAGTGTTCAAGGTCGCGTCCGGGCTTGAGGACGATCATTACGCGTCGAACGGAGACGGGTAGGTTCGGCTGGCGCGGGGTGGGATCGGGTCTGAGCTCTCCGGGGTGCCGAAGCGGGTGTCGCCTTTGGGGTCGAGGGGGATACCGAGCTCGGTGTGGTGTGGCCCCCCGTCTTCCGGTGGATCCCAAACAATCCCGAGCGTAGTCACTTGGGCGGGGAGGGTTGATATATAGTCTCTCCAGAGCCGCGTATTGAGGGGATCCTCGGTGTTGAGAATAGTCATTGGCGGCCTGATGGTCCGCCATAACGGGCAAGGCGCCTCGCCCCGAACGACTGACCTTCCATAGTCCGAAAACCACCACCACGTCCCGACCCACGCCGTTCTGAGGCGGGTCATCTTACGCGCCGCCCGGGCCACTTCCCAGCACGCTTCGTGATCGGGCCAGTGGTCTTGACTGATCGAGAGAACCCGTATCGACTGAAGCGCCTCGTCGCAGAGTGTGGCAAGCGGAGGGAGTCGAGGTGGACGCTCTTCGTCGGGCCTTCTCTCACGCCACCGGTATCCGGGGCGGACGGGCTGGTACGTCACCGTATGATATAGGAGCCGTATCGCTGGGCGGCGAAAAGCGCGAGAAACGCGGAGACACCGCGCTCAAGTGGGAGTGTCAGAGTACTCGATGATCCCGGCGACGATGTCGGGCTCGGCAAGCAGGCGCATGCCAGGGGCGGCGGGGAGGCAGGTGCGAGTGGTGCTCATGGGGGTGGGCGAGGTTGCAACAAAGACTGGGCATTGGTCGTCCGTCTTTATCCCTTTGGCGAGTCGCGGAACGGCGACGCGAAACGGGGCAGTAAAGTTGAACGTCGACGCGGATGTCGACGCAACTCTCCACGCGTCGCCACAGCACCACAGTGCTCGTACTGTACGATGCCGCAGTACGCGGACTTCACGTCACAACATGTGTTTGATCGACATTGCATGATCAAGCGCATCTCATGATCCGACTAATACGCGTCCACCGCGGTGATTGAGGGCGCACTGCACGTCGTATCCGACGCCGTAGTCAGCTTTGGATACCCGCTGCAATTGTGCAGCACCTCTTTGGCGCCAAAGGAGCAGGTGAGCGCCATTGACGAGTCGGCGGAGCATGTGATGGCGACGAACGAGCCGGTGATGTCGGACGACGCTTTGAACTGGATCCCGGAGCCTGGGGACGTCGCCGTGGACGCGATGGCTGCGTCGTAAGACTTGGGGGGCGGCACACGCGGAGAGGATCGACACAAGGCCATGGCTTGACAGGCTTGACGCGGTAGTTCTCACCGATAGTCCCGTCAGCGACTCTGACCAAGTGAGAGTTCCCATCGAGGTAAAACACCTCGGCCGCGGCCAAGGTACCGCCCGTCTGCAACCACTTGACGACGCCTAATGCTATACGCCCATACGTCCCGTCGTCGTAATTCAAGACAAAGGTCGGTCCGTTGGCACCGGAACTGTGAGAGTGATCCAGTCGCTCGCTTGTCTCTAGGTCGGGAGGCCCGTCTGACAACCTCGGTGCGCTGATCTGTCTCGCTTGAACACCGCGTCCTCGGCGGCGAGTGTGGACAAGGCCAAGGTCAGGACTAGCCAGAACGACAAGGCAAAGTTGAGACAGCATGTCAGTGGACTCTCAATCCCACTCGACTCGAGGGGTGATGAGTGTTTGGCAACGATGGGGCAGAGTGTTGCAGGCGACCCCCTTGTCCTTTATGTTCCTGCTTGAGCCCCAGGCAGGCAGTGTTTGCTTGGCGTTTCCCTGTGCATGCAGCTCGGATCGTTGCTCGTTGTGTGTAAGGGTCCCAGGGTGTTTATGTGGGAGGCACTGTCCGCGGAAGGCCATCCCATCCGCAAACAACCGGTGCCTCGGCAACTATGGGCTCGGACCGGCGTCGCTGCAACTCTCTTGGTTTGGTCTCTTCACGCAGACTGCGCCGAGCTCACCGAGTACTCAGGAGTTGGCCCAGGTGGTGATCCATCACGAAGCAATCGCAAGTCACGATTCGTGTCAGGGGTGCATGCATTTTCACCCCGCCACGTTTTCAGCAGCGGCTCGACCTTTCTCGTCAATCTTGCTCTCAGCTCGAGCCGTTCCAGCTGTCTGCGCCTCGGAGGGACCATACAACCCGATGATAGATTCGATGGTCGTATTCCCGCCGGACAGCACCACGGCAATGTCCCACGCCTCGCCGCGTTGCTGCTCACGAGCCCAGTGGCGAAATTCGGCATTGTACAGCACCACTGCCAGCGGAACCACCGCGCTCGGCTCGACAAACACCTTCATGCGCTCCAGGACGAGCCTCATGGCCATCTTGATCTCGTCCTCGGTGACGGTGTAGACGTTCTCGATGGACTTTGCGCCGGACGTGAAGAGGTCAAAAGGCAGGACGCCAAGCGGCGTGCGAAGGCCATCGGCGATGGTGAGGGTTCTGACAGTATCGATGCGTTTGGGAGGCTTCGCCGAGAGACCCCTCATCGCGTCGTCCGCGCCTTGGTATGACGGCTCGCTGCCAACCACCAGAGTCGGCTTGTCAGAGAAGAACACCGCTGTGCCCGAAAGGAGACCGCCGCCGCCGCAGGGCGTAAGAACAATCTTCAGATCGCCCGGCCGTTTGCCGTACTCGCCGACGTACTGCTCCAGCATCTCCAGAGCTGCGGTACCCTGACCCAGCATGATGTCTGGGTGATCGTATGGCGGGACAAGAATCGCGCCGGTCTCGCGGATCACCTCGGCGACAACGCTCTCCCGCTCCTGAGCCGTCGAGCCGGAGAAGCGTATGTTATCGGTGTATTCGCGAGTCCCGGCGATCTTGGATGGGGTGGAGATGGAGGGCATGACGATATGTGCGGGGATGTCAAATTCCGAGGCGGCCAGTGCCAGCGCCTGGGCATGATTGCCTGAGATCGGTTACTCCGGCTCGACACGGTGCAACCCACCAGACGAGTGCGTCACGACTCCCCGTCGTCGCACCTCATCCAGGCCTAGCACCTCTATCAGATGAGTCACGGCGGAGAACGCGCCGCGGGCCTTAAACGCGCCGATCCGCTGAAAGTTCTCGCACTTGAAGTAGATGTTGAACGTCGGCGCGCCCGTCTCACCGTCCCGCGGCGACGAGGCGAGCTTGTCGAGTGTCTTGCTGGTCAGCAGCGGGGTGCGGTGGACTCGGTGCCGGATCTTGTCATACACCTGCTGCACCGATTCGGGTTCTAATGGCAGGGTGGTGGCGATGTCGGCCATCGTGCCGACTTTAGACTCGTGCCAATGCGAAGCGGTAGAAAGACGCGACCGGTTTTACTACCTATACTACGAGGACAGTAGGTGAGCACCACCTCTTACCTCAACTGAGTGGCCTCCACATAGCGGCTACCGCCGAGTTACTCGTAAACACACGTCAGATCCTCCGCCGCCCGCATTACGAGTAGTACAATACATAGTCGCGACCGCAGCTGAATCGGGCACCGAGTCATTATCAACCCGTTCATTGCGTTGCGACGAGCGCTACTTTGTGCAAGGACACTTGCATGCATCCGACGAAACCCCTTCAGCCGTGCGTCCACATCCAATGCATTGTCCGATCAGGCCGTCGGCACCAAGTGTCCCTTCATACCAATGTCCTTTCGCGGGGGGTTGACACCGCATCGCTACACCGGCACGGCGGTGAGGATGATCTTGAGCGACTCGCTCGCCTGAGTATTATACACGGTGTTGACCTCAGCTGCACTGCCCGCGAGGTAGATCGTGTCATACGCCTGGTAGTAGTACAAGTTCGGGTACCCCGTCGTGCTGTCCGAGTTTGGGTAGGTGACGCTGAGCGTACCGGTGGAAGAGGCAACCTCGAATGCGTTTGACTTGCAAGAGTCGTCGGGACTGATGGTGTCGAAGCCAAAGAGCGCAGCGCTTGCCGCGAGTCAGCGCCGTCGATGTGGTACAGGTGGGGGCGGATGGGTACATTACGCATGTGAAGAGACGAGGGAAGGCATAGTCGTAGGACGCAGACTGCAAGAGGAGCAGTGACTCACCCAGCACCATTGCCAAGGTTGCCTCCGGCCGGCGTCCGAATGCAGACGTAGGGGTAAGGCCCGTTGTCACCAAGGACAAAGTCACTCGTCAACACCTGGTTGGGCTCGTCGAGAGCCGGCACTGTGAATGTGATGCCACCATCCTGGGTCTTTGAGATCGTCAGCGCACTCCGGCGGCCCAGTCGCGACACGGGGTGCAGACTTACCGTCGATATGGTGGCCTGATCCCAGCCGTTCCCTGCGAAGTAGCCGATGGTTGTCGACGGGGCAGTGGCCCACGCGGCGGCGGCGACGTATGTCTGGCTCGAGCCCGACGCTCTGGGTTGGAGCGCTATCATAGTTGTTGTCAGAGAACGGCCATC